CGCTTTAGAATATAAAACTTCTTGATGAATGCAGGAGGCTTTGTTATTATTTTACTACTTTTTTCAGAAGGGAAACAATTTGCATCCTGTCTCCTTTGCTTTTTTTCAAAACTTCCACCCTTCATCAAATTTCCCACCCTCATTTCAGCACACTCTTTTGTTATCTTGTCACTTAAAACTCTTCTGGAAATCATACGATCTGAATTACAAATGTAGTTTTCAGACAAGCTCCTATGTTTCTGGCGCATCCTGCTGGGCATTGACTGGGACCCCAAAACATGGAGGTCACTGCATTAGGCATTTTCTAATATATTATATTATTTAATTCTTAAAGCAACCTTTAAGTTTGGTTTCATCATTCCCATTTTCCCGTAGCAAGAAACAGAATGTCTCAGAGGTTGAATAAAGTGCCCAAAGCCTTGATGAGCTATTAATTACTCCAAGGTGTTAGGCTTGGCAGTCGCTCTGAAGAGTTGTATGCACAGCCAAACTCTCAGACATTCCTCTTAAACTCATAGGTATCTGAAGCTGAAGACTTTTTCGGTTCTAAGTCACAGAAAACCCCAATCCAAACTGGCTGAAGCAAAAAGGGAATTTATTGGCTCATAGACTTGAACACTCCATGAGTAATCAGCCTTCAGATGTGGCTCGATACAGGGGGTCAAAAATGATGTCACCAAGATTTTTTTTCTTTCTGCCCCTCAACTTGAATAAGTGTGTGTTCTGTTTTGTTTCCGTTCCCAGATAATCTCTCCTTCTCTTGTAACGTGGCTGCTAGCAGCCCCTTCCAGCTTTCCCTCCAGTGGAAAGGAGTTGTAGGTGGTTCTAGTTATGCAGCCTCGAGGAGTTTCCTGATCAGAGACTTAGGACCCACTCTTGACTGTAGCCTGGAAAAGAGATACTTTGGGTTATCCGTTCCACCCCCTGGCCATCCCAAACCCTGAAGACTGAAGAGGTGGGTCTCTAAATTACAATTAGAATTCTTACCCAAATAATGGAGACTAGGTACTGAGGGGCCATGAGGCAGATTTCTCCAGCTACATTATCCGCTCCTTTACGTTCCTTTAGTATTAAATCTTGTTAACTATCCACCCATCGCCTGCTTAGAGAACTCAGGAACTGATTCAAACACTTTATGCATTAACTCAGTTAATCTCCATAACTCTAGGAGGTAGGTGCTGTTATTATCTCCATTTTACAAATGAAGAAGCTGAGTGATTGGAAATTTAAGGAACCTGTCAGAGCCGGTGTTAAAAGTGGGATTACAGGGCTGGCCGAGTGGCTCAGTTGGTTAAAAGCACGAGCTCTGAGCAACAGGGTCACCGGTTCGATTCCCACAAGGACCAGTGAGCTGCACCTGAGCTGAGCTGCCGCTGAGCTGCCAACAGGTGGCAGGATGGCTCAGCTGGTGAGAGCATGTGCTCCTAACAACAAGGTTGCGTGTTCAACTCCCACATGGGATTGTGGGCTGTGCCCGCCTGCAACTAAGATTGAACAAGGCATCTTGAGCTGAGCGGCCGCGAGCTGCCTAAGGACTTTGGGAGCTGAACTAGCTGCACCCTCCACAACTAAGATTGAAGAACAGCAACTTGGCTGTTCCCCTTCCCCAATTACCCAATAAAATCTTTTAAAAAAGTGGGATTACACCCCAGACAGACTGGATCCTGCTTCCTTTTTCTTTCCCATCACACTCTGGTTTTTGAAAGTGGTATGTTGTCACAGTGCAGTGTCAGTAAAATGCCACAGGCTTCTCGGGATCTCTTTCTGAATGAATTCCAGATTATATCCCGTCTCAGGTCTCTCCCAGACAGCCTAGCTAACATGCACATCTTCCCCCAAATTACCCATGTGTTCCCTCATCCACACCACGCTTGTAGACACCAACCATGTGTCTGGCTCTGTTCTAGACAATTGGGAGTGGGGGTGGGGACTACAGTGGTCAAAAAGACAGACCTGATTCCTGCCCGCACAAGGAACACCTAGGCAGTTAAACACGTGATTTTGAAGAAACATTTAAATGTCTACACATATCACCCGGGGAGAAAGGGATCCAATGAGTAAACACACATAGTTCATGAACTTTGAGTGTTCTTCCCTCAGTGTTATTTATATTCCTTAAGGTAGGTTGCTGAGGAATTCAGAGGCAGTCTTTACTCCTGATAGCTTATCTATCCTAATTCTCAGGCTCAAAATACTGGCTGTGACCCGCTTGTGCATTCTGAGACTACATGAAATTTAAAGCACAATGGTTTTTTCCAGCGGTTCCCCAGGCATACTAGGGGCCTCTCAAAGGTACAGAGCTCAGGACTTTGCCTTGGGGGCTCCCGCTATAGTTATGAGAGTGAGACTATGTACAGTATGATATTCATGAGTATCAGCTGTTACCTTGCAGTAATGACATTGCTCTCTAGTGCTAGTCCCAGAGCTATCTCACCCATCACATTGGGCAGGCCTGGACTAAGAGATGGGGAGGTCAGCATCACAGCTCTCCTATAACCGTAGCTCTGGGTGGTCTTGAAATTCTCTTGCCTTTTCTACATCTCCGATGTCTTTGCAGAGTTAAGAGACTGAAATAGATCAATGTGAAGGGATATTACCCGCTGGGCCAAGATTGGAGAACAAAAAGTCACTGGAGATCATTTTTGAGTTTCTTAGGGAAGTCAGACTCTGATGAGGGAATGAAATGTTGTTAGAGAATTATATAGGCATGTGCTCAGAAGGACTTTAGGACACGAGCCAACTCTAGGAGCCAGGAGTTCAAAATGGACTCAAGTGTCCATGTCACAGGACTGAGCCGGGAAAAGAGAATGGTGGTGAGACCGATCATGGCATCGCCAGGAGCCATGTGTCTCTTCTTGAGGCTGCATCTCAAGGTTATTCCTCTAAGTCCCACCCATAGTCTGCTTCCTTCATGAGGCAGAGACTTCACAGCTTTGCCACAGGCAGTTGATCTAATTGCATGGATGGGAAATTCTTGTCCACATTAGAATGAGAGAGAACTTCTCTCAGATGTGGCAAATGTTAGACACACTTGCTGCTCTCACTCCTACTCCCTGTGTCTGCGGGAAACATAACTAATCAATTACTGCCTGTTTCCCACTGTGCTTGGACATAGCTTCAGAGCCTTCAGCACAGCCTTCCAAGAAGCCAGTACCAATCCATTAAAGATGGCACTTAAGATGAAACTGATTTCCCAAACGAGCTTTTGGGTTGTCTCATCTGTAGTCCTTTTTAGAATATAACCTTAAGTATCCTCCTATGGTAGATGACAAAGTGGTTTGAGGCTGGATTCTCAGACCAAGTGTGAAATAATGTGAGCTGCAGAGACAGATAGAGGCGGACATGAAAGTTTCAGGCACGTGCTTACGGGAGAGTTTGGTAATAGCACCTGTTTAAGGCTGTTGCTTTAGGTCAGACGGTGAGAGCAGGGAGCCCATCAGACATGGTCAGGGAGTCCTCCACTCAGACCCGTCTGAGCTTAGTCTAAATGAACTACCACACGTCTCCTAGGGAGTCTGGTGTATCACTTCAGCTTCTTGGCGTTTGTTCAGATTGGATCTTAGATACAGACAGGATCTTGTCTACCCATCCTTTTTTATCATCCAAGTATCATTATAATCCGCCAGTTTATTAAGAATTAATAGATAACGGGCTGGCCCTGTTTCCAGGGCTCTTTGGCTATGTTTTAGTAATGGAGGTTTCCAGGGAAAGGGTCACCGGTGAGCGAGCACCCCACCTCCACATTCATATTCAACCAGATGCTGAGAGGTCCTTGGGCAGGACCTCAGAGTTACCAGAGGGAAATCTACAAGAAACCATGGGGTCTTGACTCTTAAAGGGACAGTCTTATTGTTGGAAATACAATAATAACAATACGTGCAGTTTTGCCATATTGCAATTGTGTGAGTTTAAGAAAAGTTTTTCCATATCTCTGTCTTCGTCTGTAGCCTGGGACTAATAGTAGAGGCTAACTCACAGAGCCACTGTGAGGATTTAATGAGATGCCACCATAGAGTGCCCGCACAGGGCCAGGCACAGAGCAAGTCCTCAGATCATGTCGTTTCTTCTCCACTTACGGGTTAGGATGTTGGTGAATGTGTTCTCATGCAGATACCTGCAACATGGAAATGGCGTTTCCAACCCTTGCTGGCGACCCCAGCGGAATTCATGGCTGAACGTTAACTTGAATGTTGTTTTCTCCACTTGTGCTACTTGGGCTATTAGGTTCTTTATGCCCTGGATTTCCAAACCTGAGAAATCCCTCAGTCCATGGAGATCTGTCTGTAAGAACCGGGCACTTCCAGATTATCTGTCTCAAGCCCCCATTGAACAACATCGTAGACCAGCAAAGGCCAGGTGGCTTTCCCACTCAGAGCCTCACTGAGTCCCCCTCCTGAACAATAACTGCATTCCCATTGCCAGTTCAGCCTCTTTTGTTGAGCCAGAAATCCAGTCTTACGGGCAATTCTCATGAGACTGGCGATGAATGTGGCTTAAATGGAAAATGTTGTTTGTGCGTGTGGTGTCAATAAAGATGTTATTAATACAGCTGTAGTCAGACAGCTGCTGCCAACCTGCTGGGGAAGCCACGGCCACGTACAGAGCCTGATCAGTTGGCTGTCCCACAATCTCAGGGTGGGGAGGCACTTAAAAGTCATCAGGTCCAACCCATCTCCTGCAGCCATCCAACCTAGGCTCCAGTGACTTCAAGGGAAGGAAGTTTGTCACCAGTCATAACTCTGGATGTGGGTTTTTCCATCTCTGGAAAAAAAAATCTATTCATTACAATTTTTATTTGTTTGTTTCCTCGCATTGGCCTCAAATTTGCTTTTTCGGACGCTGTGACTATAAGGCACAAATAAAATCTCTTCCTCATGATAGGTTTACACATTCAAAGGAGACAGTGGTGGGTCCAGGGAGATTTCTCTCCTGGCAGGGTAAGCACTCCAGTTGCCCTAAATATTTCTCAGTAACATGACTACCTGCTTTTTATTGTCTCAGACTCATATCCCAGCTTCAACTTGGATTCGCTGTGTGACTTCAGGTAAGCTACCTAACCTCCCCAATGTCACTTTCCTCATGTGTAAAATGGAAAATGCATATTAATGTACTTATTTAAAATAGTAGGTAGCTTGGCTAGATGCACAGTTTAAATAAAGTAAATTATTAGATGCTTGACACAGTGCCGGGCATATAGCAGCAGGCACATAATAAACTTTAGTGATGATTATCGTCATTTTGTCATTCAACTTTGAGCCCATACCTTAGGTGTGCTCTGACTCACCCAGACATGATTAAACTTGATCAGGGCCTATAAACCACTGAATGATCTGAGCCCTGCCTACCTCGCCACCCCTCGCTTCTCACTGGTTCTTTCCTTGTTGGCCACGCCCCATCCACGGGTCTTCTTCCATTTCTTTGCATATGCCAAACTCCTGTCTTGGGGGTCTCACTCACAGTGTCTTCTCTCTGGGGCATCCCCTTCTCCTTACCTGGATGCACACACTTTTCTTCATTGCTTCTTTCTCAACTTCATGTCTCACTTTTCTAAACATCGCTTCTTCAGCAGAGGTTTTCTTTGACCACCCATTGAAACAAGTTCCCCCGATAAATCTCTTACATTATACCCTCTCTTTGTTCCTCAAGCATTCACCAAGATATGCAATTATATATTTACAAACATGTTTATCTTGTTTACTATTTGTCTTCATTGCTAGATGTCAGTATCATGAACACAGGGAAAGCATTTTTATTTTAAAACATTTTTTTCTCTACATGTTATAATGGAAAATTTTCAACATACAGAAAAGTTGAAAAAATTGTAGAGTGAGCCTCCATGTGCATGTCTTTTAGATTATACAACTAGCATTTGGCTATATTATCTTTATCACCTATTTATCCATGTAATCATCCCTCTACCCATCCCTCCATCCTTTCCTCCCTCCTCCATCCCTCCATCTTATTTTTTGACACATTTCAAACTAAGTTGATAACATCAGCACACGTCACCCCTAAGCACTTCAGCACGCACGTGATTATTAACCAGAGTTCAATATTCATTTACGATTCTACTTTTTCCTTGAGGTAAAATGCACAGATAGTGAAATGTACAAGTATTAAGAGTACAACTGGTGAGTTTTGAAAAAGCACACACCTGTCTAACCCAAACACCCATCAAGATATAAAACATTAACGTCACCCCCAACATTTCTTTATGCTCCTTCTCATGTAAACACTAACTACACTCACCCTTGAGGCAACTACTATTTTGAACTTTAAGTTGTTTTTTTTCTTTCTAGAATTTCATATAAATTGGAAACATAGAATGTGTCTCCTTCTTTGTAAGACTTCTTTTACTCAAGGTAATGTATTTTTTTGAGATTCTTCCAAGTTGTGGCATATATCAATAGTTCTTTCTTTTCATTGTTGAGTAATAGTGTTCCATAGAATGGGTATACCACAGTGTGTTCATCTATGCTTCTGGTGATAGACACCTGGGCTATTTTCTATGTTTGCCTATTATGAGTAAAGAGGTTATGAACATTCTATTACATTCATTTATCTTGTTCTTTGGTTATTATGAATCAAGAGGCCATGAGTATTCTATTACATTTTATCATATTCACTTATCTTAGATAAATACCTAAGAGTAAAATTGCTGGGTCATGGAGTAAGTATGGGTTTATTTTTATAAAGCACTGCTAGACCTTTTCCCAAAGTAGTTGTAGGAAGAATCTGTTTTGTTTACTAACATCAGCCAGCCACTAAGTGAGTTTGGCACAAAGTAAATGCATAATAAATGTTTGTTAAATTAATGAATAAAGGAAATAAACGTAAGTATAGTGACTATTCTAACCCTTTCCTACTGTTTACTCGTGAAATGTGGTCTCCCATGACTCATATAAGTTCTCTGAGCTTTCGGTTTCACTTTTTATGGGAATAATAAAATGTCTTCGATGTTGCTGAAAGTATTAGAGCTGAAGGGCCACGGACATGGGGTGGGGGGTTAAGAGGTGAGTGGTGCCTTTCCTTTAATATGATTGTGCCCTTCCTTCTGTCCTCTCCTGTCCCCTCCTCTGCAGGCAGCTGGGAAACCCGCCAAGGCTCAGGCGCTGAAGGGGCAAAAGGAACAGAAAGAGCAAGAAGCACTTGGATCAACCATTCGTCTCTCTCCAAGGCCCATACACGTTCCCGTCTAAAGTTGGCATTTATATACTTGACTTCTCCTGCATTCTCTCCCCTTCAGATTTAATGTCTAGGTTTGTCTGATTTTTAAACTGGGTTATTTGAATGTCAAACTTTCGGTAACACTTTAATAGAGGTGTCCATTAACCCGTGCTAAATGAGAGCCCGGCGTCTCTGGAAATGCATGTGACATCCGGAGGAATCCACATGAATACCAAATGCCTTCATTATGCGCAGCCCCCAGCGCGATGAATACCAAACACGGAGCCCAGCGCAGGGACTGGGTCCTCGCTCCCAGGAGTTGCCAACACCTCTCTGCGTTTCCTCAGCGGTCCCAGTCAGCCCCGTTCGCTGTTTCTCTCCAGGTGACTAGGCGCGGCAAGGGTGGCTTTGGCGGAAACAAATAAATGGCGCGCTCATCACCAAATTCAGAGCTGAGGCAGGGAGGAGGCTGGCGCCCATCACCGGGGAGTCAGCAAGGGGACGCGCGCTTAGTATGCAAGACGGGTTCCCGACACTTCATAAAAGGCGATAACTTTCTTTGACCAATGAATGTATTATTTATAAGTGATTCCGATGTCTTCTTCTCGCCCTCTTCCGCCGCCCGTCCTCTGGCCCCACGTTTTCATAGGCCCGTTGGAGTACTTGTTCAGTGATGAAGGCCCTCGTGATAAATAATTTATAAAGCAATTTACAAGTGCATTATTTTTAGCAATAAGATAAGACCTGGAAGAAAGTGTTTTACAGACACACACAGACACGCATATGCACACACACACACACACACACACACACACACACACACACACACACACACACACCATGGCTCATAGCAGCAAGGTATCAGAACAACACTAGGTGAGGGGATGGGTGGGAGGTGAAGGGTGCCCTAAGCCACAGAGCTGGGCCCTTGTGCGTGAACCATGTGAACTGTATGAAGCACGTTTGTAGAATAAGCAAGAGAAAACCCACTGAAAAGAATGTCTTCTCTTAACTCTTGGTACACAGCTGCCAACGTCTTCCACATGGAGTGATTCTGAGCGAGGACGTTTTTCTCGTGGTGTCTGACTTCTTTTGAGCAAGTCCACTAATCCAAGCCCAACACCTAGAGCCCGCCAGGCATGATCTCAGTTCACCTTCAGTATCTCTATGAGGTGTGTGTTATCCTCAGCCCCATGATATGGATGAAGAAACTGAGGCTGTCTCCTGGCCTTCAGTAGTCCCTCTTTGAACTCCCAATCCAGTGAAAGCTGTTGGTTCAAGTATTCGTTCAATGGCTAATTCGACGGGTGTTTGACAAGCTCCTGTTCTGGGTCAGGTTTGGTGCTGGGAGTTGGGATGTGTAGCTGGGCGATGCATCTCTAGCAGTGTCGTCAAGTAGAAACAGAATGCAAGCCACACAGATGACATCAGATTTTCTAGTGGTCGTGTTATAAAGAAGGTAAAGAAAAAGGCAAAATTCATTTGAATGACACATTTTCTTTAACCCAATAGATCCTAAATATTACTTCAGCAGGTACTCAATATACACATTATTAATGAGAGATTCTAAACGGTTTTTGTGCTGTCTTCTAAACCCAGTGCGTATTCTAGGCTTATGACACGTCTCAATTCCAACCAGCCACATTTCCAGGGCTCAATATCTACGTGTGGGCTGTGGCTATTAGGCTGGATAACACAGAGAGAGGAAAAGGGAAGCGAATGATTGATGTAGGGGGTGAAA